AAGAGATAGAAAAACAACAAGGACAATGAAATGAACATCCAGATAACATTTATCAGCTGATAAAAATCGGGAGTTATTTTTTTCTATCCAAATAAAGGACTGAGACCAAACTTGAGCAAAGGCAACAAAATGTTACTATCTTGGATTAAATTTTTTTTTGGGGTATTTTGTTTATAATTCAAAGAAATAAAAACAAATTGTAATATGTAAAAAAAAAAAAAAACTCCAACTCAAATGTACTCACAGTATCTTATTGGGTGTACAGTAGCAACAATAAAGATGGAAACAACAGAAACCGATACACTTCCGCATGCAAACATCTAAAATGGCTATATAATGACTGCAAAAATATACCTCCTCCACAAGCAATTATTTGTGTCTTCTAAAAATGAAAAAAATCTACCATTACTCAAAGTGGTTATAAAAATTAACATAAGATATCAAATGAATTATCTCATTTTTAATATTTATATTTCTTACTCGTCTTATGCAAATGTTACAGGAAAGTAATATATCTAATTGTTAAACTCTAATTATTCAAGCCTGTTTTTATTTTATTTTTTTTATTTTATTTTATTTTTTGCCAAGTCCCAGATGACTGAGAATTTTCACAGGAAAATATGTACTTGGTAGTTTTACCGCTAGATGGCAGCACAGAATACTGATTTGCTCTGCTCGGTTTGAAGTATGTGACTGTGAGGTTACCCATCACCTGAAGATATTTTAAATTGGTTTGTCTTATAAATTACTTTCTAAATAAGGAAATGTTAATCTTGATGTTTTAAAAAATGCATCAATTGAATAAAGCTTATGCCAAAGCAGATTGAGATGTATGAAGATGTGAGCATCCATTTCTATACCCAAGTCTCTATAATTTGGTGTTGTCTTTTGTTATGTGCAATGCTGTGTGTTGTTTTTCTTCTGTCATGTAGCCTAGATCTGGGACAGCTCCACTCAAATAAGGCTGCTGAGCTCAGCATGGCAGAGCAGGTACAGTTTCCTTTAAAAAAAATCAAGAGAGCCCCAGAGGATTTGGCTGCCAGTGCAGCAGAGAGGTCACAAACACAGGCAGAGAGTGCAGCACTCAAAAACATTTAATTGTGATAGATAGAGTTGTAGCTTTTTCTGTTACAGTGAATATTTGTTTATAATGTTCTGCATAGGCCAAATCCTGGTCAGTAGATGCAAATAAAAGAAAATCTGCTACCATGAAAATATTTCACTCTCTTTCGTCTTCGTCCTCAAAAGCCCCGACTCTCACAAAAGATCACAAGAATGCATCTCATTACTATTATGTAGGCTACAATGGTTCTGTCTGAGTGCAGAGGGTAAAGGTTAGATTGCCCCCTCATACGATTTAACTATTTAGGACAACATGAGGAGTAAAAATAAGCATGTTTATGACCTAACTTGAAGTTGAAAGACTGAGTTCCCCTGTTGAAAATAGTTTTATAGGATTTATTAAGCTTTATGCAGCTATGACATTAGGCAGTTAATTTCTGTGACTTTATAAAGGACAGGGGACGTCTTAAAAATGACCATACAGAAAGACAATGTCTGGAAATCTCATATACCTGTTACTCTTTGACATCCTAAAATGACAATGGTACCTCTAAAAAACAACAAGAGACCAAAATGCAGCCAAGCTTCATCCTATAGCGGTAATGATGAGTCCATGCACAGTGAATGTGATAATATAATGTGACATGGGAGAATACTTTTGACACAGTATTAAGTAGCAGAGAAGAACCACAGGCAGATCAAAACCAAAGTTTAAGTTTGGATTATTTTATGTCTTTGGCTTGGAGCGGACCAAAATCTTACCTTATAGGTAATGCCTGCTTTTGCTGAATGCTTAACCCCAAAATCAATACAGTTTCCTTTAAAAGTATTTTCTCATCTTGAACTTTTTAAAGTTTTGTCAGATCACAGCCACAATCTGAAAGTGTAACTGCTCCCAAAAGGATTAATTGTTTTATTTATTTTATTTTATTTTTTGCAGGTAAACTGTTTAAATTGGACCACCAAAAGGAGCCGTTTTAGCTGTTCTTTTTTTTTTTTTTTTTTTTTTTTTAAATATCCATTTAAACTTCTGTCATTTTGCAAATTTTCTCTTAAAATCATCTTAGCACTGTCCTCCCTAGGTTGAAATGCTTACTGGTCACTTGCACCAGCATTTTCAGTCGTCTCGACCACGCTTCTTATAGGATCTCTTGATAACAACTACTTTCATGTCTTTTTTCCATAATTTGTCTGCGGTGGGTTATGCTTTTAGATTGGGGTGAGCTACACTTTGAATGTATGTTTTTTTTTTTTTTTTTTTTTTTGTAAGGACCAAAACAAAGCAGTGCATGTTTGCTAAGTGGATCAAAAAGGACACATTATTATTATTTTTTACAAATATCACTTAAAAAGGTGTGGTACATTTATATCCAGCCAACCTTCAAAGGATACCCCCTAAAAAAAAGTTAAGGCTAAATTATTACACCGTATTAGTAAATACATTTCTCTTCTGTGTAATGTAATTTTAACTTAATCCAGCTGCTCTGTGAATGTTTTAGAAGTTAGTGTTTAAGCTGCATTGCAAAGACCAAGCTAGACAGGTGTGAAATATATGTTTCTAAAGATATTTAAAGCAAACTTATTTCATAATCTGTTAGTTTCTGTCATTTAGGTGTTACTATGTTCTTTTCCTTACGATCCTATCACATAGTTTACTCCTTAGTGCTGATGCTCCCTTGTTGCTGCCTATTAGTTTATTCATTATTAACCATTTTTGGATTCTTTATGTTTATCCTTCATGTTTCTTTCTAGCCCTATGCTCTCACTGACTTCTTAATGTATCATCACTTGAATCTTCTGTTTGTGCATGTTTTTTGTATTTATTCTCAACTTCTTTCTTAAGTTTATTCAAAGTTCCTCATTAAATAAGTTTTCATTTTACCTTTATTCTGCATTTGGGATCTGCCTAAACCTCAACCTAAGATATATCATGTGACCGAATCTGCTGACTGGACAGCTAGTTAGTTTTTAATCCACAAATATGAATTTTGTGGAAAAGTGCCAAGAAGAAATTTAATATTCAATGAAAGACAATAGAACAGGAGACAGAAAACATTTAAACTCCTTCTACTTTTCCCAGCTATACTTCAACACCCAAAGAAAACTAATGATGTAGAGTAAAAGAGCAAAAAGTAAAGGTGTCTAAACCCTCCGAACATTCAAAGTTGCACTGGCGTAACTTTCTGGCATAACTTTTCTTTTCTTTTTTACATGTGTACATTTGTATAAGTTAAAAAAGCTGGGCTTCTCGGAGGACCATTACTCAGAGTTACAGATTAAAATGCACACATATTTGTTGTTTTCTTATTGAATAGAGAATCAGACTCCAGAGCTTCTAGAGATCTTGAAAATTAGTTTCTCCAGCATCATTATATTGGTAGAAAGGTTAATAAATCTGTTTTTAAGCACAGCATAGACACAATTGGGATATGCAACGTGCAATAAAATATATCTCAAAGTTTACAAGAAAAAATGTGCTATGCTGTAATAAAATTCAACTTATTTTTTTGCCTTTTGTAGTTCGGCAAGACTCAGAAATAGCTGTGCCAGCCAACCCAGAGACAGCCAGACTCACAGGAAACAGACAGAATTAAAATATAAGAAACCTGCAAGAATTATAGCACAAATAATAAAAATATGTGCATAAATGATTTTTTTAAATATAAGCTTCAATATATAGACTTTTGCTGTCAATGACATATGGGAGAAGTTTCTAAACTTAAATTTGATACTTGTATAGGAGGATAATCACTGATGCAGCTGAAAGGGAAACCATGCATGGATGGATGGATGGAATTGAAGTTGTGTCCATACTAGGGATGCATGATATATATTGATGTTGGCATTGGTATTGGCTGTTTTTGAGCTCTTTATTGTTACAGTTCTGGTTCTGTATTTCCTTTTCTTTTGGATGTTCAGTTTTGCTTTGCTCCTGTTTTCTAGTTTTTTATGGTTTAATTCTTATTTTATTGTGTTGTTTGTTTGTTTTTCTCAGTTTCTGTCTTAGTCTTGGTTCTGTTATGTTTTCTTTGGAGTGTTCAGTTTTGCTTAACTCCATGTTTTATAGTCTTAGTGGTTTAATTCTTATTTTGTTGTGTTTTCTGGTTATTTTCAGTTCTCAGGTTTTTATTTGTTGCCCTCTGCTGCCACCTTGAGTTCTCCTTTTTTATCCTTGCCTCTTTATTGTTTCTGCTCTACTCACACCTGCTCCTAATCTGCTCGTTAGCTCTCCCTTTGTTTCAGTTGCCTATAAATACTCTCTCTGTGCAGTTCTTCAGTGCTGGTTCCTCGTCAAACTTCCTCCAACTCCGTCTCTCTGAGCTTTCCACCTTGCGATAGTTATCCCCCTGATGTCTCCATGGTTTCTGGTTTGTTTTGACTTGTTTTCTTATTTTGATTTTTGGACTCCTGGTTTCCTGTTATTTTGGACTTTGTTTTCTTTTTGGATAACCTTGCCTCTGTTTTAAGTAAACCTTCATTAAATCACCAAGAAATTCCCCTCTGCCTTCCAAAACCAAATCCTGACATTTATAAATGATACACTAAAGGCAGGCATCTGTCTATAACTATAAATATCAGTGTATTATGGTTCTCTTGTGTTCTCAGCAATGGGAAAGCATCCAATAAATATGTTTTAGCAAATTTTTGAAACTATAAACCCTATTGAAAGCATTTGGATTGAGCAGCTGTTGGTCCAACAGCCACTATCCTTAGAGGTCCCCTGCAACTTTTATCACAAAGTTACACCTGTGCAAGGTTGTAATAGATTTGTCCAACTTTATAATTTCCAAAATAGGAAATAAAGAAGCGTTAAGATATTTAAGAATGAATGTGTTGCCAAAGATTTGGTCCCCTGATTTCAGAGCCACCTGGAGAGGCAGTAGCAGCCCAATATTCCATTCTCTGTGCATTGAAGTAGGCGTCACATTGTCCTCTGAGAGAGCTCATAGTGGGGCAGGCAGAGTGAGAAAGACCCAGCAGCAGGCTGAGCTTTTAAAACACCAGAGGAGACTATAAAAACTGCTCCATGCCCCGCTGCTGGAGCGGACCTCAGAGAGGAGGAGAAGGGAGGACAGCAGTCTTCTCACAGTTCATCCTGTGTTTAGTTTAGTTTTTTCTCACAGGAGTGAAATCACTCTGCTCTGCGAAGACAGTTTAGTTATTTCCACTCAGTGATTAGGATGCGCGTCTTCTGCGGCTCTGCTTCAGTTTGACGCATCTGAGGCGCACTGAGCGGACCAAGAGTTGGACTCCTTATTAGAAACTGTTCCGCTCAGTAGTTTAAATTCTCCACTTTAAAAATGGGATCGCACAGGTTAGAAGCGCTAATCAGGAAAAGTTTGCAGTGGACGGTGCTGATCCTCTGGCTGTCCACGTTTGTTAACGGGACCTGGAAGACTGGACTTTACAAAGGATATTCAGCTGGAGCGCAGAAAGCAGCCGCTCACACCTCAATCTATCAGAAAAGGTAAGAGGGGCTTTATAATAATGTTCCTCATGTTTAAAAACACATTTAAACAAACCAAGGTCTTATTGGTTCCTATTTTAGATCTACTCCCCAAACCATCCATCTTCCAGTTCCTATTGTGTTCCTGACACTTGGTTTCCTCTTTCCTCTGCCTTGTCTCATCCTCATTGTTGTCCAATGTGTCACAGCACATCCACTGTCAAAGACATGAAGCAAGAGATTCAGCTCCATCATCTCATTTCCTTTACTGTCAAAATCTTTTTTTTAAGGTTCAGCTTTGTGCACAGAATACGTGTTTTTACTGGGGTAGTATGAATAAGAGGCTGATATTTTTAATAAAAAAAGATAAAAAGAGGATTTCCTAAATTGATTGATTGCCTGAGGGTTGTTGCTGACAGATGGGGTTTCCGAACAAGAACCAGTAGACTAAACACACTTAAAATCAGGTTTGCTGAAGAGTTTAGCTCATAAATGACAAGAAACTATTTTTAACACCTGCAAAGTTTTTCATACCTTTTGACTTGAATACATGTAACTCTATAACCACATTTTAAGTGTATTGCATTTGGATTATATATGATTAAGCAGAACAGTAAACCTTCTGCTGAAGGCCAATTTTAAATTTTTATTTTTTCCCAGTTTTTCCAGGATTAGATCTTTAATACATTGATATGTTATTGGTGATGCTGGTGTGTGAACCAGAAATTTCTATCCGCTATTGTCTGGTATTTCCCATTCCCTGCTGAAGAAGGAAATCTCCACAGTGCCATGCTGTCATTGCCATGTGTTTACAGATATGTCCAGATATTTCTTTTAATGCATACATGTTTTGCATGTACAGTAAAAATAATCTGTTTTAACTTCCAATCTGACCACCCGATTCCTTTTTTTGCTACTTTACTTAAAATCTATTAGACTTTTTATGTCTTTCTGTCAGCAATTCATTTTTCTTGCCACTCACCAATGAGTTAGATTTGATCCGTGACCTTTCCTGGTTGTTGGCAGATTCTTCCATCTGAGCGGTGAATTTCTGCAGCTACCTGCCCTATTAGTTTAAGTGGGTTTTTAGGTGTGCTATGCTCTTTCCATATTTAAATGGTGAGATTGAACAATACTCAGTGATGCCCTCAAGACTTGGTGTATTATTCTGTAACCTTATCCCAAATCTTCCATTTCTCAGTCTAAAAAGGCTCCGTCCACCACCTTCATCCTCTTTCCCCTTTGCCACTTGCATCCAGATGTTTGTTGACATGTTTATTAAACACAAGCGTTGGAACACCACGGCATCTGGGCTTGTTTTGTGAAGATGTCAGGATTTGTATACAGGATAAAAATCCGCTGCTGTTCTCAATCAGTCGCTGTCCTCAGAAAGGTCAGCGAGTTTGAGACTAAATGAATGGGGCTGAGTGTTTCGGTTCAGTCTGGTGTTACTGTGTAAGCAGCAGTTCATAGTAAAAGTCCATGGAAAAACAATTTCTCAGTAAAGTCAATAAATATTGAAGGCTGTCCACAGAAACAAAGAGATTGTCAGCTCTTGGTTAATTTTAAACTTGGTTGAAGTGTTTTCTAAATGATTGATATAGTTTTCTGCACAACTATGCTACTTCTGTCGGTTATTGTTACATTTTATTTGACGCAGTTTATTCTCTGTTGGAGAATTTGTCCTGTTCTACACATCTTCATTTCTCAGCTTACTCACTGAAATGAAGCTTACTTTGGATTCTGGAAGGTGCAAACCAGACAGTCTGTGATTAGTCTCTTCAAATAACCTCGAATACACCTCCTGCTCCACTGATGCTTGGCTGCATTCCTGACAGACTACTTATTGGATTAAACTGACTCTCAAAATCCTCAGAGAGATATTTGTTAGCATCCTCAGGGGTTTTATATTTAATACAAATAGCATTTTCTCTCCCTTTCTTTCAGCTTGTACTCATTCTTGTAAAGATCCTTACGAAAGTATATACCCTTTCAACCTCCTCCAACTCTGTTACATCATGACCGCGAACTTAGATGTATTCTACCAGGAATTTTATGGAAATTATCAAAACAAAGTAGAGAAAAATTGTGAATTTGGAAGAAAGGGGTTCATAACCTAAAGAATATTTCTTCTTGGTGAACTCTGAAAAGTATGCAGTGCTTTTGCATTCAGACCCCTAAAATCTAACAGTATCAAAGCCACAGGTAAATAGAGTCCATCTCCATATGGTTTGATGAAAAAAGGAGAACTGAAAAGTCAGGCAAGGAGAACATTAATCACAGAAGAAGCCAAAGAAACCTATCATAAACATGGCAGAGCTGCAGAAATCCATGACACAGTTGAGAAAGCTGTCAGCTTCAACTGTATGAAAGGTTAATCACAGATGAACTGCTAGTAAAGTCATTGATTTGCATTGCATTAATGCATATCTTTTAAACAATGCTAGATTAAGCCCTAACTCTGATAATAAACCTTAGCTCCTATTAAGCCTTAGCTCATCACCTGTATCCTGGTTTATAGGTGAAACACTGATTAACCATATTATGCTGATGATCTTATGGTGTTCAAAAATCTGCCACATCCATTAATGGAGATGCACCAGTCAGATACCTAGATCAGATATCAGCACAGATATTGACTGATCTAATCCAGTGCACTTTACATGAAACTATTGTTTTTTTCCTTTTACTGATTATTTGTTAATAGATCTTATTAAATGCATTTATATCTGTATTAATTTGTTACTTTTCAACAATGTTTATATCAAACCTAAAGCCTTCACTCGCATTGCAATATGTATGGTTCATTCATTCAATGGTTGAATCGGTTTGGTATAAGTTGATTTAAGTTCAGCCAAGGCATCAGTATCAGATCGGATCAGATAAAAACTGGATTGGTGCATCTATATAAATGTAATGGTTCAATGAAGTCTCAGCCCTCAGAGATGGTGATGATGAATTTATTATGATAGAAAGAGACAGATACAATCAATGTTAGACCTCTTCAATGAGAAGCCACATCTCCCAGAGGCAGTTTGTTCCTCCTTTGCACTGAAAGGAGTCACCTGAGAGGGTTTATTTTCCACTCAGGAATCATTGTGATTCAGTATGGGATAGATGGATGGATGTTATCTCAATGATCAAGAAAGGTCAAGAAAACTTTAAAATTGTAACAAATTACCCATGTTAATATTCTGGACCCCAGAACCACAGAAAAGACATCTCTGGAAACAAATAATTGGAAAATGACAGCCTGTTAAAAAGGTTAAGTAATATAAACGGCTCAGTTGGGTCTTTTTTGCATTCTTTCTTTAAACACTAGAACATCCACCAACCATCACAAGCCGACTGAAAGCTCAGGTGTCCGTATAGGAAGACTCAAAACAGACAAAGACAAATGACCGCTCTTTGTCTCTGGTGAAAGAGTCGCCAAGCTCTGGCTTTCAGACCTCTGTGTGCTGCTTTGATGATGCTGCACAATGAACACAGTGACCATAATAATCTTAACTTAGTTACTTAACTTCATTTTTGTAAGCTCTTAAAAAAGACGAGACATAACTAATGCCGGGTCTGTTTTTTCACAGTGCTCTTCTTTTTTTTTTAGTTTCTCCTTTAAAGCTGAGGATTATTATGTCAGGAATGTAGAGCTCATTAATTTCACCTTGACTTGTAGTCTTTATTTTTCTTTTTGTCGTTTTATGTTGAACCACATTTATCTTGAGCCTTCCTCTCTGGCCCATGGGACGTCCGCTGCTTTATAATTGTCTTTTTTCATATCCTTGCTCCCATAAGGACTCAAAGACCCTTAGGACCAAGTGACCTCTCCTTTCCTTGAGCCATTTGCTGCATCTGTCTTTTCTTCCTTTTTCTCTGCAGATATTTTTTCTGCTGACAGAATTCTAGCAAAAAGAATCCATTAGATTTTCCTCCTCACTACCATAGTGCGTGTTGTTCATCTGTCTTCTCCTGCTGTTGATGTTGAATGTATGGGCCTGTATCAAAATGTTTTTTTCCTGCAGAAGATTCTCTCTGTTTTGATGTTGGTTAATATCATAGTTGTTGTTGAAACGCTGAGGAAGTGTCAGCATGCAGCATGTCGAGGTGAAACAAGGGCACGTCTTATTGCTAGATTATAGCTTATAGGCTTTTTCTTTTATTTGCATCCTGTTTGCATTTGCATATATAAGATATAAGGTTTCAGCTCTCTTTTGTTTCATCTTCTCCATCACTTGGCATCTGTAGCACTGAGGAACAGATGGGACAAAGCTGTGATTTCTTTCTTAACTGTTGGCTGAGGCAATGTGCGACGGAGACGGCGGATGATTTATTTAGCTTGGGCCTATAGCATTCAGAGTGTGCCATGTGTGCTTTGAGACCCGATACTCACTGAGGGCCTGGTTGGTGTTTTGCCAGTGAAACAGCATGGTGCTGGTGGGTTTTGCACTTCATAATACATGAGTGGTTCCACTAAGGGGAAGGTGGTGACTATGAAAGATTCAAGAGTAAAGGATTTAGTCCACCAAACACCTGCACTCCTTGTTGCTGGTTTCTTGGCATCCTCTGAGCTGAGGAGAAGATTAGGAGATTTGTATGTTCAGTTACTATATCCTCTAAAGCCCCTGGGATAGATCTTGAAAAAATTTTCTTACTTTCATTTGAAGTAGTAATCGAACTAGTTGGCGAAATATGCAAAAGGTGTAAAGATGATGCAGTTTTTCAGTTTTCTAGCAGAGTCCATTAGACCTTTAAAGTCTTGGTCTTTTAAAATGTTCATAATACTGTGCTCTAAAAAGTTTTGGATCTTGACAGACTTATCACATCACAATTTCCTCACCATGCAAACAGTGAACGAGATATTCTTTCTGAATATCTAATCATTTCCCTGGGAAAACCTACTTTGAATGTTACTTCAAAAATTAAATCCTAGTCTCCCTTGACTGAAACACCATTCCAGTCGAAGTAACAGTAGAGCCTGGGAACACTTTATAAGTTAGTTTAAGTTTGTGATGATAGATCAGAAAAGATTGTGTTGCATGGTTGTTTTGGAGAAACGGTGACTTCAGGATGGCCACTAAAATTCTGTATAACTCTGATGTCAAAAGTTGGCGGAAACATGTCTTAGGTGTTTGATCAGCTCTTTTTGTCACAATTCTAGTTGTTTTTAAACCTTTTATTTTCTAATCATATAGACAAGTGTAGTCAGTAGTGATTTTCTGTCATTTCATTCCTTTTTTTTAAATTCAGCTTAGACCTGTGCTATTTAAATAACTTCTCTAGTCTTTTCTATTTTAAACACAATAAAAAATTTAAATAAAAGGGCTCAATGTCCTGTAATATCTAAGCTCCAGGAAAACAGAAGGTCAAGCATTATTAATTAGAAGCTCATATCCACTTTAATTAATGATAATTGATCAAATTAAAAATCTTCACCAACATGTACTTTATAGAAATTTTAAGAAGGGAACTGATTGTGACATAAAAAAAAATGTAAATAACACAGATAAAATATATTTCCTTTATTTTTAAGATTATACAACTGCAATACAACATAAATTTACCTGAGCTATTTCTATGTCTTTAACAGGTGGGCTTACTCACTTATAGTAGGTATTGAGATCTGCATCCCAAATTCCATTTTTTTTTTTTTTTTTTTTTTTTTACTGAAGAAAACTTCGGGACCATTTCCTTTTATTTACAGCATACATGCAAGGAAAAGAGAAACAGGGAGACAATAAACCTTCCCCCATTTTCCTCTATGTACCCCCCGGGAACTATCTGTTGTTTCCAGGTGAAACCTCCCATCAGCCTGGCAAACTCAGATGTTTATCTGTTGGGTCTGGAGGATAAGTGGTAGGGAGGAGTTGAGGTTAGCGCCTCACCCACCAAAACTCTACCTGGGAATGTTTTTTTTTTTTTTTAACAGGCAGACATTTTTCTCCAGTAATTTGGAAAGTAACTGCTGTTGTACATATAATAGTTTGTTTAGAGTCTCATCTCAAAGGGATTGATATACCATATGAAACCACAGCTTGTATTTTTCTAACATTGGACAAATGTTTCTTATTTCATGAAAGGCTGATATTATATTTAAGCACTTTTTTATTTTATTTTTGTATGATTCTGATTAATTTGGCAAATATATTTTGTCCATATTAGTTTTATTGCTGGGTGTAGGAGCTGTGGCTTTCTAGTTAGAGCAGGGCGCCTCCTTCCTGCAGAAGGCTGCGCGTTTCTCGGTTCAAATCCCTCAGACTACTACTCTTGGTCCCTAAGCAAGGGTGCATTTAACCCACTTCTCCTAATAGGGAGGGTTAAAGGGAGGGCCACATTTTATTTTAACTTCTAATGACACATAAAGATAATTACTATTATTGAATGGTGAAAAGTACAAAGTACTTTCATTCATAGATAAAAAATATACTTACTGTAAGATATCAGCTCGTGTGTGTGTGTAGCCAACACAACGTGGGGGATGTTCAAAGGGGCTGCTTCACATCTTCTGCCTTCAATGGTTGTCTTTATTTTAAACTGTTTGATGCACGCACAAATGGCCTCACATATTGACAAACACACTTCATTGGGACCAGCCTACTTGTCCTGCAAACTGCCTGGCAGCAGGAATAAACAAAGGGACGTCTCTGCGCTGTTGGCTGCGCAGCTCACTTTGCAGTTTAAAGAGCTTTTGTTTTTATATACATCGATTGAGCAAAACAGAGTTTGCTAATTGTTTCCTTATTTCTTTAATAGCTTGTTGCCGCTTAGCAGCCTTCCCAAGTTTTTCCATAAATTAAAGTCAAATGATTTGTGATTAGCAAAATGAGATCGCAGCTGACTTTAAAGCTAAATATTTCTTAGAATGATCTTCTTTATGAGACATTAAGCTCTTGTTAAACTAAACCAATTAGCTCTAAGTCTTTTTTATCACATCAGCCTTTACACATTGTCTTGTCTTTAAAAAGACTTTTAATAAACCCTTAAGAATATATTACTTCATTTTTTGTTTGTACCTGCTCTAATCACTAGGTTACTAAACCATCTGTACTGTTCAGTGAGTTACGATAATGTCTTATAAACAATCTCTGGGAGGGCTATGAACTTGTGACCTGGCTGTAACCTGTATTAGAAATCCACTCCATAGAAACTCCACCAGGAACCCAGTGCAAACGGATGTATTGATACAGGACCGCCTTCAGTGTAAATACAGCCCTCAATGCACTCATTGGGAAAACTGTTGCTGATTAAAACCATGCAAACACTCTGAGGAAGTCGCAAAACAAAAAGGCGGGGGAGAGTGGAACAATAAAAACCAACTGGGACTGCATGGCTAATTAGCTTTTGTGACAGAATGTGATTGAAGACGTTCTTTTCTAAAAGAATGTGATTTTAGTTTTTATCTAGAGGCAACAAATGCTGCTGATACCATCCCTAACTCTGTTCGATCCATTTGTTCTTCTCCTCAGGAACTGGTGTCCTCACACAGTAACTAAGACGGTGACCTGCCAGGTACAGAATGGGACAATCCTCCAGCGGGTCTACCAGACCTGCCGCTGGCCACAGGGATGCTCAGGAGGCAGGTGAGGTTAGAGGGATATTCTGAACCTGGTCCTGCAACACCGTTACAAATCCTTTACTTTTCTGTCCTAAACAGCCACACAATAAAGCAATTATCTGCTGTTGTTTTATGGAGTTTAATTTTATAGCTACCAGAGAAATAAGCCATGAGGTCCATAACTGAAAGAGGCTGAAACTAAAGATTTTTCTTTTTAATGGTTCAGTCTTCCTGTTGTCTGTTTTTTACAGGGTTATTTCTTTTTTCTAAAGTGAGATTTTGTGAAAAAATTGCTGAGAATAGTTTCCTCTGCTGTAGTAGAGAGGACATATCCTTGCAGGAAAATTAAGGAAACTCTTGCACAGGATAGATGTCGGAAGGATTTTAGTATCTTTATCTTTAATAAGCTGAACTAGTGGTGTGTCTGAAAAGTTTTTATTCACCGAGATGTCAAAAGAAGTTTTTACAGTCCAACAAAATATAAATGCAATCTCTTAAGGCCTTGCTCTCTCTCTCATTCTCTCTCTTATTCCTGAATTAACTACTGGCATGCCCTCAATCTCCTTTTAGATAGCTTCTGACAGTTTTGTACTTCCTCACTGATAGGAAAAAATTAATTTCTGTTATAATGAGAAGGGTTACAGGGTCCAAACCAAACCGTTTTATTATCTATGCCACCTGTTAGCTCTTACATATGGTACATTTAGTCGATTTAGGTGATCACCAGCTAGTGCTAATCAAGGGCTAACTTGTTTGTGTCCACTCACCAGCTGTATTCTCATTGCCTATAATGTGGAAAACAAATAGACACGGCTTTTACTGTCAACATTTTATATTGGGCTAAACTGTAATTAGCATCTAGCTAAATTTTCTTTTAACATTTATTTTGAAACCCCAAAGATGGACATGTAAAGTACTTAACTATAAAATGAAAATGCTCTATCAAAAAACACCTACTTCTTATCAGTTGTTACTGGATGCATGGATGGATTGATTTTCTATAACTAATAAGTCCTGTAAAAATAGGATCCTCCACACCCAAGGTTAATTTTAGACGGAGTTGTTAACCTTACTTGTTGAAGCTTTTTTGGATGGTCGGAAGAAGATTTAATCCCAGAAAGAAAATCATAAACTCCACACAAATGTCCTGGCTGCGAGAAAAATTTGCTAATACCTTGCCCCTTGGCAGCTATTGCTTTAACATACCGGTACTTATACAAATACAGTAAATGTAACACAGATTAACTTGAATATATCATATATGCATTGACAATTATATGTTAGCCAAGTGGTGCAAACACCTTACAGATACATGCAGATACAGATAGATTAAAGATACAGCAAATACAAAAATGAGAACAGCAAACACAAAACTTGAGCAAACACTGCAAAGTTACGCAAAGGAGAAATGCAGCAATTACAGAAAATAAAGAGCAACAAAGTGCAAACATGCTGCAGAATACAAAATCCCTGCAAACACATAAATTATGCTAAATTACAACACACACAATAAGAGAAAATGCTGCAAGACGCAAAAACAACTGCAAAGCTGTGAATTAGTTACGCATAACCAGATGGAGACAAACATTAACTCATATGTAATGGGATCCATATTAAAGAAATCAATGGGGAAGCTGGGATTTGTAAATGTTTAAAAAGATTAAAAGGAAAACATAAACTATTTTTATTTCATCCAAATGTCCTCTTTATGGTCATCTCATAAATGTTTTTGCAACAGATCTGGTTTTTAGACCTCGTATCATAGTAATACTAATCACTAATAACTAATCACCCTCAAAAACTGGCAACAGCGTAAGATTACTTGCAATATAACACAGTGCGTTACTTCAACTCAATCAATCAAAGCGACCTTTCATGAGCACAGTCTCTCTGCAGTGGGGAAAGATTTTCACTGCATCCACCAGCAGCAGGGAGCTGAGGTACGCATATGTGATGCAGATTGGCTGAGAGGACAGCATACAGCATTCCTAAAGGAAGGTGCACACTGAAGATAAAGTCTAAATGTTCTTTTGTTTATTATTTGCAGGAACAAATATTTATATACATTGGTTCGAAGCATCTTCAATCCAAACAATCTCCTCACATCATCTCACTGACAGCTGGCTGCACTTGTCGCTCTTTATGTAAAGGTATTGTGGAGGATTTTCACGAATTTTTCACAAGACCCGCCCTCTTCACTTTAGAAAAAATGCGCATGCAAGAGCATGCACAAGTCCATTTCTCCTCGTGCATGCTCTGTTTAAAAGTTGCTGTTCTCATAGCTCATACAAGCTTACTGTGCCCGAACGTCCGCTCTAACGCCTAAATCCCTCAATCACTATATAGAGCAGGGACAATACAGTTGACTTTATAGCGAACTTAGTTAACTGAGCGTTCGGACAGATGACCAATGCTTCTTGCTCCGTTGGTCACGTAACTCCTCCTTCACTGGGCGGTGCCTGCGCCATCTTTAATATTAGTCGGCGCTGTTGGGTAGCGACAGCTCATGGTGACAGCAGGCTGCTACAGTATGCTTTGTGAGGAGAGCTCTCTGTGCAAAGCATTCTGGGATATATCTGCCTATTCTGACACTTTTCTGTTCTTCTTATACACTTCGTAGAAACTTTTTTTCTTACGATCCTTGGACATTTTCTAAGAGCCGTGGTGAGAGAGGTCAGATTAGATGACTTTCTGAAACCATAGTTCACCACACATATACGTCTGAAAGTGCGCATGCACAGAAAAATAAAGGTAACGGGACGAGCAAGTAGGACGGCCTTACGTAAACATTTCACCAGAATGATTGACAGTTAGGAGGACCACTTACTTAGATGATCCACCCAGCAATTTTAATTCTATAACAGTGCATTTCATTTTTGTTAAAATGCTTAAAAAAGTTCTTTTTCAGCTTTACTTTTATTTTATAGCCAGCTAAAGCCTCTCACTGAGCAAAAATATAAATGTTTAAAACATATAATTGGTTTGCTTGTTAAAAAAATAATCCTACCAGCATAAACACATTACAGCTTTCTTGTTCCATCACACACACCAAAATGTTTTCAGATTGGTAATCTGAAACTACTATAAAACTTACTATATTTCATCTTTGAACTTCCGGTTGTTATCCAGATTCTCCTACATTTTAGATCATAAAAAGTAACAGGAAGGATTCTTTAAACCACTAACTAGTTATATTGATTGTGCAGTAACTGAGTTACTAATTAAGTGTAAAGTGTTTTGAGAAATAACTAGTTACTACAACTAGTCTCCCCCTAGTGGTCTGGAACACTGGTTTGCAGCTTTTTTTTTTAAAACTTGCAGCTGTTTTTGTTTCTTCCTGTGTTTCTTCTTTACACATGTTTCTTGTGTTTGTGGTTTTGCATAATTTCTGCAGCAAATTTTTGTGTTTACACCTTGTTTGCACTTTACTACTCTATCATTTCCCCTTTGTGACATTTTTCCTTTGCTTTGTGTGTTTGTCTTTTTTTTTTTGTTTTTGTATTGTTTGCAAGGCATCTTTGTATTTGCAGAACTTTTTGAATTTACTTGCCCGTGTGATAAACCATACCAAAGTTCAACCTTATCCAGACATCATTAGACATCTTTAAATTTACTGGTTTTTTCTCTCTTTTTAAGTCACATTAAAATCTTGTTTAGATGTAAGCCACCTTTATCCGTTACATGTCTATTCAGTTACATTTCGTGGGGGGTTGGGATATCGTAAGCCCTTTTGTTACAAGTATGCTCCTAAGAAATCTTTGTTTGAAGGACGAGATTGTGCACTCCCCTACGGCACCCCCATGTTATAAAAAGAAGGGCCCCTCCACCCATTTAAAAACACAGGGAGAATTCAGCCTTATTGCCTCATTGTAACTCTTTTTGAAAAAAACATAATGGAGACAGTGCTAAGGGTAACTAGACTGACACAACATTTTAGGAGAAATTGACAGGGTTTCCAAAAGCAGAAGGATTTTTAAAACTTCTGAGTGTAGTTACTTATGAGTTACCTAAATAAATAACTATGTGTTGTTAAAATAGATATCATGCCATCTGTGTAAGAAAAGGTTGATGCAAAATATGGTTTAAATATTATTTAAATAAATAAATAACAGATAAACGTTTCTGTATTCCATCTGGTTTTCTTTCTATCTGCTATAGTCTTGTTTTTACTTGCAGCCTGAGTAAATATATGCCTTGTTTGTGCTCCTTATGTTAAAGAGTTTGAGTAAATTATGTAAAATAATAATAAAAAAAAAGTAGACCAGATTCACAAACACATCATGTATGTCAGAATAAACAAACTTACATTTACACCTAAATGTTTTGAATGATAGTTTATTATATGTGTTTTTTCAGCTATAAGACAGTTGTGAGACCATCGTACAAAGTGGTGTACCGCACTGTGACCTCGCTTGAGTGGAAATGCTGTCCAGGATTTAGTGGCACTGCATGTGCAGAAGGTAAGAGATATTTAAAGGAGGATTTTCAGGAATATGGAAACTGTGATCTTTTTTTTACTGTCCCTTTTCCTTTCTCCTCTTGCTTACTCATCTGTCCCAGTTTTCCTATTTTTTCATTAAAGTCTTATACCCGGAACCCAATATGTGCCCTCCAATGTGCTTGTGCAAGTAATACTTTAGAACAGGAGTGATTTCCATTAAGCTTATATAAGGCAGCCTCTGTCCTTTTAAATGATGTTACGAAATAAGACGCTGTGGCCTCTTCAGGGTGAGTCAAATACCTCGGCTCTGTTAATCAGATGTAATGTCTTCATTCCAGCAGTAAATTTACCCCGTCAAGGCTTATTCTTTTCTGCGGTTTTCACTTTATGATCCAGCTGGAACCAACTCTTTAACTTCTTAAAGTGCCATGCTCCCAAAGCTGTTTTCATTTCTCAGTCCACACACACACACACCCACTTGTAGTGTATAATGACTTTCCCTGGCACTAGTCAGGTCTTGGCCGTCTGGAGAGAAGGGTGGGGCACCTGTTTATGTCGTGACCCTGACCTTGAATGGGTGTAACATAAATTGTCAGGCAATGCATGACAAAGGACAATAAATGTTTACAGTGGTTAAAATGGTCAATTTTTGTGGTGCTAAAAGCAGAGTCTGCAGACATTTTTACACTCACTCTCCCAGGTGAACCCTCCCTCTGGTCTGCGGTCTGCTGCTGCAGCATGGCCTCAGCTGAAGAAAAATATCTCCACTTTTCTTACTTGCTTCAACTTGCACACACCAAAATGGCTCAAATACATTGCTGTGTTGAAACTCTTCCCAATCCTGAAGTTGAAAAAACACATTCTCTGTCCGACAGACCAGACTTTACTTAACAAAAGGAGAAACACACAAAGTAAAACTGGGAGGATATTATCCAATTAAGTTGTTGCTAGAGGAGATTCCCCATTGGTTGTCATGGCAGTGGGGGTCCATCGAGCCGGCAGGGATGCTGGGATTAGCTACTTATCGGAGCGTCATTCCGGGTGGCTCAGATCACAGAAGCTGCTGAGTGGGAGTGACAGCTCCTATTCACGGGGCTTTTACTTTTCTACTCCGTGGATGCCATCCAAGGCCACCGGCACTTTGTTCTGCTCCTGCCTCAGGAGCAGAACCCCATGCCAGCACAGAACCTGATACCCCCGCCTGCCCCGTTCTGTTCCTTGAGAAGAAAGTAAGGCTTGCTGCCTTACGGGCAAAACAGGAGGCCAGACCTTTGAGGTCTGTAACCACAGTGTTGCTAAGTGACTCCAAGGCTGCCCTGGTGATTAAATGGGAAATCGGAAATCACATCTACTGAAAACAGGGTGTGCTTTTAACTACTAGCCACCATTTGACGTCATTTTCTATATTTCCTCTATGAGCAACTTTTATATGGTCTCAAAGGCCTTGAATACTCAATTGTCAAATTAATAACAGTCTGTTAATGTTAAAGACATCACTACCTGTGGATTTTAATCACTGTGTATTTTGCATACAAACAGCCAGATAAATTTCCATGGCATTCCAGAATTAGAACCTCACTGTAGTAAAAGGTGTATCTCAATAAGTCTTTTAGAGTATCATGGACTGGAATTCACTGAGATATACACGCAGGCCTCTTCGTTAGGTACATCTTGTAAGTAGTGGGTTGAATCTGTTTGCCACAGTGCTTCCTTATTCTTTAGTGCAATAGTTTCAACAAAGTTGCAGAAACATTCTTCACAGATTACTGTCAGTATTGACATGGTACCATCACACTGCTGCACTCTTCTAGCCATTCAAGGTTGAAAGTAACTGTCCCATCCGGTACATTTGGTACTCATAGGACTGTGATCTGTTGTGAGTCAAGGCCACTCAAAGCATGCAAAATGAATAAAAAAAAAATCTAATCAAGCAACGCCCCCAGGGCCCTCATACTAGTGGGGGTATGTAGATTGAATGAGGAAGGGTGCAGGATGAAAACAGGGATGATGGTAGACAAGGGGTTAAAGAGGGGTGCAGCTTGTTAAAGCAGAAAGCCATTGGTAAACAGTCTATTAATGCAGAGTCTTATACCCCTTTCCATCTGGTCAAAAACTTTTTTAAACCTGAGAACAATTAGCTTTTAGTGGCAGTGGGAACAGCTCACTGACACGTGTTTACCAAGACCAAAGAACTCGGCAAACGAACCGAGTTAAAATTGCCTTTAAACGACTCGACTCTGATCAGCATACAGTGGAAATATCAGAGAGGGTTTCGGACAGATAGAAGAGCGAAACAATAAAGGTTACTTACTACGCCCTGGCTTCCTTACATGTTGCTTTCCAGTGTTTACTTTCCTGATATCTGTCACAATGGTGACATCATCAAAGCTAACCCAGCGTGATGGTGTCACCGGACATGCAGCTTGCCAACAGGGGTTAGACCCAGCTTTTTTGCCAATGGGAAAGGAGCCAAATGCCAATTGGTAGCCAGTTGAGTCATGTTTGCAAAACCCGGGATAACCTGCTAATTTCAGAGACTATAGATGATGATTAGCCATGGCAGAGGTGTGCAGATGTCTGATAGGTTTGCAGAAGCAGAGCATCAGAGGGCAACTGAATGAGAGGTGAGGCTGAATTAATTTTCACTTAAGGTTATTTTTTTCCTAATTTAGTGATGTTGCAGCATTTCTTTTAAGCTGGTTTAACTTCAACAACTTTAACATATTTGCAATCAAACACACACAATGAATAAACAACCATTTTTGGAAAGCAGTGTTTTATTTTTATTTGCCCCATCTTGGTGTATTTACTACCAATGATGCAAAATCAAGCAAATCAATTAAACAGACAGAAATCATTAAACAGTAGTTGACCTTACCATGTTGCCTGACCTACCAAAGATGTCAAGAGGGCATCAACACCTCATCAAAAAGATCATGAAATAATCCAAACCACTGCAGGCCTCCCTTTCCATGTCAGAAACAGTGTTCATGATAACAAGAAAAGAAAGAGACTGGGCAAAAGGACATACTGGGCAGAAATCAAGACCAAAGCCAATGCTGGCCCAAACATAATAGAACTCTCTCTTATATTTGCCAAGAAACATCTTGGTGATTCTTAGGACTTTGGGCAAAAATACAAAAAAACATTCTCTAACCAGGTAAAACAAAAGTTGATCTTTCTGAAAGATTTATTGGCAATAAGTCTGATGTAAATCTAATTCAATATATTACCAGGGGAACATTATGTGATGGCATTAGACCTCTTTGCTGCTTCATGACCTGGAATATTTGATGGATTTAATTAATATGATTTTTAATTCTACTCTCTTCCAGTAAATCTTAAATGTGAATTTCTGGCAAGGATACTTGTTATGCAACTAGACAATGATGATCCAAAGCTCACCAGCAAAGCTTTCTGTGAAAGGCTGAGAAAATGAAGGTGTTGAAGTGGCTAATCAGACTTGGCAAAGGCTTATTGCACAGGCTGGCTCTGGGAGCTTTTCCCCATTAACAAATACGTCACCTGTAGAAAGAAATTGTATTTACTCAGATCCATCAAACATATAATATGAGCTGAAACTCAAGTGTAAAGAAATAAAAAATGGGAGATGCTTCAAGACTTTGAGTATGCAGGGCTTCATTTGGGGACCTTTATGAAAATGTAACAAATATACATTTTGGTCTCACATATAAAGTTTAGAGAAATGAATTACCAGATGCAGTATATTTAAAAAAAAAACAAAAAACAAATACAATATGCTTTCTTTGTTAGTGTCTCTACCTTTCTTTTTCCAAACTAAACTTAGATCTGGGATGGCCTAAATTATGCGCCGTTTGGCTGAAGGAGAATTATGTGGCTGATACTCCATTTCAGGTTAGACAGGACCAAAATGTTTCTACAGCCCTTTAGATATAAGACTTGTTTTCACATGGAAACTCTCAACCCTATTTGTCAGCACGCTCAACAAGTCCAGTCTGTGTTAAAGATAACATGACTCTATTAGAGTTTTGGATTGTTTGTCTGTACAATCTGAGCAGGAGCGTGCAGAGATGGCCTTAAGTCAAGAGTCAATAAGGTGCCAAATTTTGACCCGTCACACCAGAACTAGAGGCTCTATGATCCAAAGATTACATCACACATTTACTGATACACAAAAGTTACCCCTTCAGAAAGCGATCAGGGGAAAATAATACTTCATAATGAAGGCATCTTTCATATAAGCATTCTTTCTCTTTTCTCTTTCACCCCAAACTCTGTACTTGGCTGGAATTCCAGGTCACTGGTGTAATTACTTGGTCTTAATTATTTTCTATGAGGTTGGGAAATATTGTCTTACTTCTGGATCTGGAACACAATGCTATTTATCACTGATTGAGCCAAAAGAAAAAAAAAAGGGGGGCTAAGTATTTGCAGATGGAAGCACTTTCATTGCATGCCAGAAACAGGGATTTTAATGTATGCCTGTTTAGCTTTTGCATGCCAGGATAGTAAATGGCCGTTTTCAGTGGGGATATCTCAGCTCATGCCACATTTAACACAGATATTGAAATTGCACCTCATTTAGAAGCAATTCTGTTATGAGAATATCAAATTTAGCTCCTTAAAAGCAACATTATTATATTAAAACTGACTTGAAATTCCTGAGGAAAAGATGAAGAGTAATTGCACTCTCAGTAGTCATGTCTGTGAATTTATTAGGTCAATATTTTAGATTTTTTTTTCTTTCCAACTGCAGATTTGATGGATCTTAAAAACACTTTATAAAGGCAACACCTAATATGTTGGTGTGAATACTGATTTATCGACCAACAGTACTTGAGAGGAACATGTTTGCAGCCTATTGTGGGAGGAGACCATCATTCATGGGGGAATGTAGAGTTAAATTAGCACGGCTGTCAAATCTTAGCAGGTTTTACAGAAGGAATTGGGGGGTAGTCATATCTCGTCACCAAGCGGAGGCTGCAGTTTTTGGGTCACAATTATGGTATAGCCAGGAGGCAGATGAATACGGACTGT